GTCGTCGTGGCAGTGGTAGTGGTAGTGGTAGTGGTGGTGGTGGTGGTGGTGGTGGTGGTAGTTGTAGCAGCAGCAGCAGCAGCAGCAGCAGCAGCAGCATCAGCAGAAAGCGGCAGCGGTAGCAGTAGCAGTCGCATTAGGAGGAGCAGGAGCAGGCGTAGGGGTACAAGCAGGAGTAAGAGCAGGAAGGAGCAGGAGAAGGAGGCAGCATGGCAGCAGCTCATTGCCCGAGCTGATGTGGCCGTCGCTGTTGTCTTGGTATTCGAGTCGTGGTCATAACCGTCGCCGTCGTCGCCTTCGTAGCAGCAGTAGTCGTCATGATGGCGGTTGTCGTCGTCGTCCCCCCATCCTCCTGGTATTGTGCGTCCTCATTAGCGTACTCATCGTATCGTGCCGCAGTCACAGACGTCTCTGTACCAGCAGTGACAGTCAGTAACAGGAGCAGCTGCGGTTTTAAAGGCTTGGGCCTGCATGACGATCGCAATCTGTAAGTTCGAGAAGCTTTCGGTTGTCATCTCCACGAGTCCATGAGTCTCACGAATCCAACTTGACTGAAACTGTTGTTTGTCTGGTCGTGGCTCGAACCGGCAGGTGTAGATTCACACAGCGGCATGTGTTTTTGGGGGATGATGCAAGCAGTGTGAGCCTTCTAACTCAGGCTAAGGCCAGGTAGTGACAGATATCAAAGTCATGATTTTGAGTCATCTTGAAGGATTCTTGGCGGTGTGCGAATCACAGTATCCCATGCCGTGCCCATACCTCATCCCCAAGCCCTCTAGGCTTTATGCCAAACGGCAAGGTGGTGGGAACAAACAACTACAACTGTCCTAGCAGTCCTAGCAGGCATTAACAGCTGTGAGATCAGTGCTGTCTCACCCCATCAGAGCCAAAGTCCACACGCTTGCCGCGAACGTAGTTGCGCACCGTGCCTTCCTCAGAGCGCGATGAGCCTTGCAGTTGCAGGGCTTGCACGCTACTGCACTCAGAACTCAGGTAACGAAACTTTCCGAAATTCAAGCATGGCCAAGCTCTCAGATGTCGCGACTCTGAGGAGTCAGTGCGACTTACAGCGCCAGTGAAAGCTGTGAGACTGAAGTCTCTTTGTGTGCAAGCACTTCCTGTCCACTGAGGCTCCGATTCCATGGTCGGAAGCAGACCCTTTCAGCATCTCGATGTATGCGCAGGACCCGCATGTTGCCATATCCAGTCTGCTGGTTCAGAGGGCTGCCCATGTTGAAAGTCGTGGACGAGACGCAACCAATCGGGTTACTTCCAACCCAAATTCAAGTGCCCGGAGAGCCCAAAACAAGTGCAGACCCATGCATCGGGACGATTCACAGGTTCACACAAAAACTGCACAGGAGTCCGTGTACTGGAGCTGCCTCCAAGAAAACGAGACGCTAATGCGCCCGCTCCCCGATTTGGCCAAGTTGGGCCAAATTCCCTTGAGACTCGGAGGGTTTTGCTTTCGGGCCTGGGAGCTGAGGCCTCTGCACGGACATGGTGGCTGCGGCAGCCAGGCGAGTGCCATGGAGCTTGCACCCGAAATTGCGGCAGATCCGTTCGGCCCTGCGCCAGGAGCAAGGATGCCGTGGAAGCACAGGTCGAAGAGCTCTGCAAGCTCTGCTGGGCTTCAGCCTTGGAGGTGCCGTCTTTGCTCGCGGGGAGGGATGTAGGCTGGTGCCGGATCCGAAGCTGTTGGAGGCGGTGGATTGCCACACGCTGCTCATCGCTGCCAGAGCAGAGGCGGGTGCTGGTGAGCAGGGTGCTTGCAGACTTGGCCTGTAGATGCACAGCCTGCAAGTAGTTTTTCATGAGGAATCATGAGGAGCTGCCTGGACACCCCTCCCACTTTCCGTGAAAAGTCTCGGAGCAGTCCGCATGCAGGTAGACCACTTAAAGCGCCGGCTATCGCGATGCAGCCTAGCCAAGACAAAACAGCTGGTCTTCCCCGAGGCACGATTTGCTCTGCAGCCGCAATGGGGCATGTGAGGGAAATGGATTGCTGCACTTTGACACGTTGGCGCAGGATGAGCTGCAAGCTGCCAACAGGCGAGGCTTCGATTGCTCAGAGTCGGCAGTGCCACCTGCGAAGTCGGACCAATGGAGGCCCTGCTTCGACGGTCCCAGCTTCCTAGATCAGGACAGATGCTTCGGCTTGTGCGCATGCTGTCCGGCTCACACACCAGCGCATGTCAGTGACATGCAGGATCATGGGGATCTTATCTTCAACGCCGTTTGGGATGAGCAGCTCGCTCATCACATTAGCTCATGCTGGACTGGAATTCGCGGTCTCTCCTTCCGCAAATCCAGCCATAGAGTCGAAATGAGTCGAATGACATCGTTGACTTGTATCACCCTTGTGAGTCACCTGCCAGCCCTGCCTTCTGCGATCTGGCTGAGTGAAGCGTGAGCCGTCCTGAGCCTGGGAATCGCTGAGGTTCCAAGATGATGGGCCCCCTCCAGGCCGTTCCTGTGCTCACAGTTCAACAGTTCTTTGTTGCGGTGGAGCAATCTACAAGCAAGTCACACTGGTGGCTCACAAGTCTGGAGAGTCGGCTGTCCGTCGCCAGGCAGCGAGATCCCTGTGATGCTTGACACCGGTATGAACACGGAGGCCTGAGCCGGCTCGAATCTCTTCGCGTTCCCAAGCTTTCGCTAGAAGCTCGGCGAAACGAGTGCTTGGAGCCAGGAGACCGCAGAAGACGTGATGAGTTTGCAGCGGAGCTGCGAGGAGGGTCCTTTGTTCTGGGCATACGATGGGACTTCGGACTTCACAAAAAGCCTGTGCATGACAGGAACTGCAATCGCGGCTCTCCACCGCTGAGGTGCGTGGTAGGTTGTCCCGAGTCCCGAATGTTCACAAATCCGCCCTATTATGGGCGGGTGGCCTTCTGAAAAGCCTGCAGGATTTTGCCAGCTCCTTTAATTTAATAATGATCTGCAGGTGGAGGCAGTTCGCCTGCAGGGCGACGTCACCCACCTCGAGGCCGCTTTCAGACGAAATATGGCCTCGCCTGGCGTTTCTCACTTTGGGCTCTTTTTGCTTGGGAAACACGCAGTGAACGTCTTGCCGCATCTTGCTGCCTCTTGCTGCCTCCGCCTCCCCATCTTGGCCCCGTGCAGGAGCAGCTCTGTGAGGCGGTGGAGGCGCCCGCTTCCGCTTCCGCTTTTCCTTTCCACTCATCGTCTCTGCCTTCTGGTGGAAGAGAGATGGAGATTTGTTGATGCTCTTCGTGCGGCTGGCTCAGGAGACTCGCACCGCGAAGGCCTTCTTGGGATTCATTGGGGGGGGGTGGGGGGTTCTCGTCCGAGCCTGCCAGGGCCACCTCACGGAGGCCCTGGAGCAGCTCACCGAGGCCCAAAGCTCTGAGGCCGGGGCTCCAAGAGCCAGAGAGCGAGCTTTCGACTCTTGGCGTCTTCTTGGAGGCCCTGCTTCAAGGAGCCTACGAGAAGCTTCAAGAGGACCGTGCACTATGCACTGGGGCTACTCTTACGATCTCTTGCGGATGCTATTGTGAAAGAGAGGGAGCTGGCGATCCCTAATTAATCATCCGTGAGGAGCACGAGCTTGAGATCAAGCTCCACGAAGACACGAGACACGAGGCCGGTGGAGCAAGAATAGAGTCCGCCAAGGCTATGTTTGAAGTGTCGTCCTTTGACGTTTGTTGGAGTCAAGCGATTTGCAGGTGTCCCGGCTTCAGTCGGAGGTGATGCGGTATCGGTCTGCAGACATCGCGTCGCAGGACAGCTTTGGGCTGTTGTTCGAGTATGAACATCGAAGATCCTGGTCTAGAGGAGAAGAAGGCTTTTCACAGCCGCCGTCCTTCGAGAAGGCCTCTCAATGCCGGCGCCCTGGAAGTCCTTGTGCTACTGGGTTCGATCCCCTGTCTTTTGCAAGCGGCGAACCACCCACGCGCGCCTCCTTTTTTTGTTTCTATGATCGTCCTATCAGCCTAGATATTGCATCACAGCCGTGCGTACTGCGTTCGCGCACGCTTCACATGGTCTTGACCCGCACGTTGTCCCAGGACAGCAGGCCACCCTCATCACCGCTGCCGCTGCTTGCCGGCTCCTCCGTTAGCGCGAGCCTCAAGCTTTCTGCAGGAGTCATGTATAGTCGACGCAGTCGCACCTGCTGGGCTTTGTCTGTGTTTTTCACGGCTGTAGTGAGTTGAGAGCAGAGCAGAGCGGCTTCCCTTTTGGATGCCTTCTCTCTTTTGGGGAGCCACGTCCTGGTAGGCTTCTGCTGTGCTGGTAGAGAACACCCCCACCGTTCAAAGTGCAGAAAGAGCAAAAAGGCCGAGTCTTGGATGGCCTTTCTCAAGTCCCACACAGCAGAGTGTACAGCATGTTCAGAAGTTCTAAGCGCCTATTCGAAGATCGCACATCCTCGAATCCATCTCAACTCAAAATCCGAAGCTCCGAAGCTTTAAGGCTTTTCCGACGCAGCTGCAGCACTGCGCGAGGTGGAGCCCGAGGTCTCAGAAATTTCAAACGCGTCGAGGAATGTTGGTAGATTCATGGGACATCTGCTTCTGCCCTGCTCTGAACCGCGCTGCATCCGCAGACATCAGGTGCAGGCGATGCAATGCACATCTCTGACAGATTTTACGGAAAGGCGGCTGGTACTATCGGCTGCCGACAGCTCAGGTCCCCAGGCTTCGCGCTCCCCAACCGCCGCAAGGCGATGCAGGCACAGCAAAGGGATACACAGCGCAAGACCCAAGAGCAGTCGGCGGAGCGCACATTTTGCAGGTTTCAACCTCTTTGCCTTCCTTGCAGCGGGGCGGTGCCGAATCTCAAGGCTCCAAGTGGATGCCCAAGAGACATCTCTTGGTGTCTGCACCGATTCGCAAGGCCAGAGCTCCCTGCTAGCAGCTCCGCGCAGCAAGAGGCCTGCTCGCTCGGAAAAGCTCAGCCTCGCTGGCAAGTTACTGCTCTTGGGTCCTTTGGATCCTTTCTCCGAAGTTTAGGTTGCAAGCGGTTTGTGGTCAGACAAGGTCGAAGTGTCCTAATGGCCGCGAGCGGGTCCAGAAAGTCTACCCCCAACGGCCCCGAACCTCAAAGCTGCTGCACAGGCCATTCGTGCTCTGATCCCACGGCAAAGTGGATTTAAAGCGAGTTCGCTCTTCGCCGGGGGCGAGCCGAGCAGTTCTTGGTGCTGAACGGGGTGTGGGGTTCAGTTGAGCTATTCTAGGACGATCTACGGCGGAAGCACTAGGATTCTAGCTCAGGTTAAACGAAACACATTAGGCTTCCAGCCGCTGTCATACCGAGATATGAAGTCTCTAGTTCTCAGTAGCGAGGTAAGGGTTCCTTCGTGTTGCAGTCGGTGCTGGCACGTGCCAGGTTTATCTTCTCCTTGTATTGCACTTTGCTGGATCCCGGTTGTTGAGACCCTTTGTGGCAGAACAGTGTTGCTGATTTTTTTTTGCTTTTTTGGGGGGTCCAGCCCCAGACGGGATTCCAGACTATCGCCGCTGTTTCAAGACGTCGTGCACCACTAAGTGCTGTGCACTCTTGATCAGCCTGTGCCGGTAAGCAGGGCTGGTAAGACTTCAGAACTTGTTGTTGTGCTTGAGAGTCTGGCAGCAATTGCTCAGACCGTGAGGGAAGCAGGATATCAAGCGCACAACACCGAACCTCTTTTTATCTTGTTTACTTCAAAGTGGTCCAAAAGGCCTTTTCTCGCCGGCCCTTCTTACCCAAGTCGTGCGAGCATGCATCGGCATGTGCACGTCACTCACGTCAAGAATCAGGATACTCCGTACCTGTGACAGAGGTTATTCTCCTTTCCGGGCGAGTTCTTGGAGTGCAGAAACCCTGCCGTCGTCGATTTAAATGAAGAGCCATGCCTTGACACTGTAAGACACTGTAAGGCGTCTCCAGGGGCCCTCTGAAGTGGCGAAACTGCCCCTGGCAAAGGCCCCCTGCTCGCCCATGACCGCTCCTGCGCCCATGAGATGTCATCCAGCAAGCTGACCACAAAGTGCCCGGAGAACACCAGCCTTCGGATCAGGCCCTGGGTCCCTGAGTGATATTCCACTGCGTGCTGGATGAGTCGTGTCACCGCCCAGTCAAGCTTGGCGAGTTCACGCTAAGAATAGACTTCTTCTTGCGGCGCGGCACTGAGAGGGGCGACTAGGCTCGAAGGCCACAGCTCTAGATGGTACTTCGCATCGCGAGTTCAACACTTTGCCAGTGAGAGCAGTTTCTTTGGCCCTAGCTGCGCCGATTTGTTCACAGCTCGGTCTGAGAGGGCAAACCAGGACCATGCACCTGTGCAGAGTGGTGACTCTCTGCTCGGCCCAGGGTACCACGGGTTTTGGGAAGGCTCTGCTTAGAAGACTGGGACCGGTGACTCAGCCGTCGAAGATGGTTGACGTGAGATGACTCATCCTCTCTGGACAAAGTGAGGGCCGCCATTCTGGTAAACTCCATCTCCAGCTTAACCACTCACTTTGGACCGCGCATATGCTCCTGATTTTTGTGAGGAGGAGGATGTGGAGATGACGGAAGAAGCCAAGGAACCCAGCTTCGTTCCTTGTGGTGGACTTCTTCCTGCTACGTTAGAAGTTGTGCTGAAGCGAGCCACAATACCTTGTCTTTCCCTGAGTGTAGTGCCGTGAACAAATGTTGTACCTCCGCGGCAGCATGCGGCAGGAGCTTCTAACGAAGATCGGCACGGAGAGTACGTTGCGGCACGAATCTCAGTTTTCAGGCAGCCTAGGCAAAGAGTCACAGGACTGCAGCTAAGCGGCATGCTTTGGCGATATCTGCTGTGCTGAGGTATGCAATCCACTTAATCACCTGCTCCAATCTCGTGGCCATGAAGCGGAAGGCCTCACTCAAAAAAGACACGTAAAAAAAACAACATGAATGCTTCCGGGCATTGGCTTTTCAGTTTCGGAAGCCGTTGTGAGAAAGCAGGGCAGGGCGTAGCCCTGAGATCTTGCATGTGCGGCTGGCAGTTCTAGTGGTGGCATTCCGGTTTGCCTGCTGGAACTGTTCAAGCATGTGCAAGCCCAATGCACAGCTCGTTCTCGCGTGAGGCACAGGAGGTTGATGTCCAGGACATCCGCAAGGTTGGATCTCCGGCTGGTTCTTGTCCTTTCGATGGCTCCAAATTCGACGCTGCAATGCCAGTGTCAAAGGTCTACTCGCTCTTTGTGGATGTCAAGCGGTCTACGCAGTTCCTCATGGAGTGCCCTGTGCAATGCACGGCATGGAGTATTGCAGCAGTTGAGTTGCCTGTCGTGCCAGGTATCAGCAGGAGTTCATGTTCTCCGAGGTGCACGAAGAGGAGGCCAATCCTTTCCCCAGCTCGGCCCTTCTTCAGTGCCAAGGGAAGACACGGATAGGGGGTCATGGTTGGCAAATGAACATAAGACTTATCGCCTTTCTTTCATGATGATCGGATGAGTTTTGGAGCTTTTGGCTGCGCTCCGGTGTTGATAAGCTTGGCCAGGATGCCGAGATGCCTCAGGCGAAGGCATGCATTTTGTGCCTGAAAGCCCTGTGACTGTGAGAAATCGGTCTGATGCTGGTTGTGGCGTAGACAGTGATACAGATGCAGTTCTTAACAGCGTGGGAGTTCGGCAGAGGGCTTTTGGCAGGAGACTTGACCGCGCTGCAGCCCGAGGACATGCATTCCTTAGGCCAAATTGGCATCCTTGCCTGCGTCCGGCTTACTGGATTGGTGTGTAGGACCTGTCACCCGCCGCCGCGCCTCGCGCTTGCATGACCCGATGAACATAAACACTGCATGACTGCATTTGACAAAACAGCTACGAGAATTGCTGCTAGGGTTTGAGAGTTTGCGCATGGCAGAAGATCTGTCCCTTCCTGTGGAATCGACCACCGACGGGATCTGCGTGTCTTCGGACATGGGATGATGCCGAGTGGGCAGCTGCTGAGATTCGTCGTCTTTTCGGGCTCGAGATTAGTAGCATTAGGATCTGGGCCTGTGACATGAAGCAAGGAAAGCAGAGCACCTGGATTCGGCCACCACAGCCCGAGTTTGATGCAACATTGTGAAGAGCTCATCGTCTCATCGCAGACATCAAAGCAGCCTCCTACCTCTTGCATGAACCTAGAAGTGGTTTCCCTGACCTTGCTGGCATGCCTTTGCACAGGCCGGGGCATCAGGGATGAGTAGCAGGGGCATGAATCAATGATATGGGTGGTCTCGTTGGCCCTGTCAAGAGAGTCTCATTACATTACAAGGGTCGCGTCTGTCGATCTGCCGCGCCGGCATTCTTGTGGGGGTGCCTTGGCAGGCCAAACCCCGCAGCTCGAATTGCTTGCTTCCGTGTCTCTGCCAGGCCGGCATCAGACACCACCCTTCATCAGCCGGGAAGAGCCCCCGACCCAGAGCTGGGGCAATCACTGCAAGCTGCTCCGACGGAGACAGCGAGCAACAGGAATGCGAGCAGCCAAGCTGAGTTGGCGCCAAACACCTGGATGCCCTGGACTGCAGGGACGTCTGACCTGCGCTGGGTCGGTCGCCGTCCGGGATTTCAACAAGGACCAATGGTGTTATTGCTTCCGGCATGGTTCCAAAGACAGCAAGCTTGACAAACATACCGAACTGCTGCTTACTAGATACTTTCGGTACAGCAGCGTCAAACGGATATGGTTCAGCAGAGGCCACCTGTCACGTGCCGCATTGGAACCGGATCATTTCATGCGCCCGCTGAACCCTGAAATTCTGAGTCCAAAAGCTCAACAAAACCCCATCCGAAGCTACGGTCAGGACCGCCTCGCTGCACAAGACTTGGCTCGGCGCACTGACCGGCTGGAGGCACTGAAGGCGCACGGTGCAAAGGGGGGGTCCAAGGGCTTCAGAACTCAGAGGCTTCGCTTTGCGAGCCAGCCTTAAGCCTTGGCATCTCGTCTTCGGGGATCCATGCCTCCGAGCCTGCATCGAGGCATCCCGCAAAACTCCGACAGCAAGCAAAGTGATAGCAGCAAGAATCGTAACCAAAGGAGGCATGGATTGACATAGCGATGTTGACGACAGAGTCGAAAAGACAGATACGCCTGAATGTTAAGAGACATGACACGAAGAAGGCGAAGAAGAACGAGTAGTAGTTGCTTCCAGTTTATCTAGTTTCGTACTTTACATAATTTGTATTCTGGCCACGGTGGATGATGACGCTTTTTGTCATCAGTAGTCGTATCGGGTCGAAGTACCGGTGGCAATCACGTTCAAGCCCATTGACACTAGAGGCAAATTCTTCCCTTACAATGACAGCAGCCGGAACAACAACAAGAGCCGCCGCCGCCGCCGCCGCCGCCA